AAAATGTCATGTTTTAGTTTTGGGCTCACAAGATGCCATGAAGGAAAGCACAGAAATTATAGGTGTGTACTTTCTCAATAAGTACTATCACACAGTATTTCTGCCCAAACTTTGCAGATGCAATCACTTTTCAGGTACAAAGCATCCAGTTCTAAAAACATAGCAAAACTAACACCTACACAGACTTGTGTTGTTGCAGCTAACATACATATTGGAATATATAATTTAACTCCGTGCTTTAAGAATGTTCTTTCCCAAACAATTTTTAATGAATATTGCTAATCTTCAGCAAATAAGAAAGCTTACTGTGCTGTTTGTGGTTCTCACTGCTGTGTGACACCGCTCTGCTTCATTTAATAACCTACAATCTCTCAACACTTAGCAATATACCTTGTGTAAACTTCACACCACTGTCGTTCTGAAGCATCACTCTTGGTTTTTCTGCCTACACTCCCACTGCCTGGGTGATGCATAAAACAAATACCTCTTCCTGCTGGTGCACTTGCCACTTTTCATCTCTAGTACAATATCCACCTAATCAGACAGTGCCTGTAAGTGCAACTTAAAAGAGCAGGTTGTAATTTCATTAAAGATGTATTTACTGAGCTAAAACAGCTGTTCTGGGCTGGAATGCAAAAAAAAAGGCCTATGTGATTGCTACTCAGTCATTTTTAAGGCAACTGAAAAATACATTTGCTGAGCTAACCTCACTCTCCCGAAGAGCTGGCACTGCTGGCTTCTTCTGTATAAAAGGTTTAAACAGTTATTATAGTGTGTCATAAATTTTGACTTGTAATTGAAAATCTCTTCACTTCCTACAAAAAAAAAAAGAAGTCCTTATTACTTGCTATGTAATTACAGACCATGCAGCTGCTCTCTTCGGCTTTGCTAGAAAATTTGAAGAAATGAAACACTGTGCAAACCTTATTCAAATGTTATTAAATTGCTAGTCATAGATATGCCACTCTCATACTGGAGGCTCTCAAATAATATCACTTTCTTCCTGTTACCAGGACTAAAAAGTAGATGAATCAGAAGTGGATCTAGGCCATATTGAGTTTCCCACCACAGAGGAGACCATCAGGTCTTTAGCAGGAAAGTATAATCTCTATTTCTGCCAAGAAGACATCAAAGGAAAAGATACCTGAGCACATATCTGGAAAGAGACTTCAATGCATAACGACAATTTTTATTTCATTTTCAATAGGTCCTAATAATTATGCATGGCCACAATTGTCTAAGTCACTTCACTACAATCTTTGTGCCATTTCCTTGTGTCATTTATAATGAAAAGAACCTATTCATGAAATAGTGAACCTCATATTTCAGCCAAAGGCATGGGATTGGTGACCCCACAATATCCTGTTCACCTCCAGTGGTTTGACATGAGTCATACTTGATTAACTATTCCCTAGCCTTTGTGTACTGTGGAGGCTATGGTGTGATGCTGAATTTTTAGAGCAATTAAAATAAAATATACACCATGCGCCCCTACCTTTGATTTACAACGCATTTCAGTCTTGGGTCACTGATTTGAAATGGGCAGCTTCTGGAAAAAGGCTTTACACACCCCTGACTTCACTTTGCATTTTGTTTCTCCCTGTTGGTGCTGTATCAACATTTAAACCAGTAAGTTATTAATTTGCTGGGATTAGTTTGGGCTCTAACAAGGATTTTAAAGACTGAAGATTACAATTAATTCATTATCACAATGTAAAATAACTATGAAAATGGTTATTATACATAAGTCACAACACTGTTTCCATCTAGTATTTATTGTTTTCTTAATTCCTGTCCAGACATATGCAGAAGAGCTCCAGGATACATATTACAGTCTGAAATCTCAAGTGAGGTCTACAGGATGTTGGACAAGTAACTTCCTGTGACTGCCAGTGAGATCAATGTTTCCTTGGCATTTTGAAAAATTCCACTCAAAGAACCACTTTGAGGTTTTAAATTCAAAATAAAGACTACCATAGTTGGTTTAGATCATCAATTCAAAGCAGCTAAAATTTGGAATGAAGTTTTGGACCTTCAGAATAAACTAACTACTCTCAGTTTTAAAGCACAGTTATTCATATAGTTCTGGTTAATTACACAGACTTTTCAACAAATGGCCAAATTAATTTTTTATAAACAGTGATGCTTTCAAACATAATCATTTCTTTAGAAGCGGGGATTTTTTTTCGCTTTTAATCCAGCTGCAACTGGAGATGCTTGTTGTTCATCAGGGACCTTTATAATTAAAACTCCAACAGTCTGAAATTATTTTCCAATTATTACTCAACACACAAATCGGTGCAGCAATACTATTTATACTTGTCACCAGAAAATACTGTGATTGCTTTCATGCATGTCACTAAAAAAAAAAACCTAAAAGTAAGTAAGGTGGAAAAACAGAGAAGGAGTTCTGAAAGACTATGGATCCGTTATTATTGATTCTGGCATTCACGAGGAGCAAATTACAGAAGCAAAATGCAAAAATTCAGTCTGTACCACTTTGCTGCCACTGAACTAGACACTTTTGGAAGTCGAACTAACAACAGACACATTTAAAAATTTGCAGTAATTGTTGAAACAGGTACCTACTATAATTGTCTTCTAATCTAGGGATGAAGCCAAAAGGAAATTATTGAAAAAATGAAAACCAGCAGATGTGCAAAGAACGTTGTTAGCTGTAGAAACAGGAAATTGATATTGAGAGTTATAAGACAAATAGCTGTACAGATCTGCTCAGAAGAAGTGTTTATGCATGTAGGAAGAATAACAAAGGGAATTCCTTGAGGGCTTTATATTTCACTGTAGATGCTCAAATACTTAAAATACAGGGGCTCAAAAGCTGGAAGCTAATTTCTCTTTTACCTCAAAAAAAACCCCAAAAACCCACCTCCCACTGCATCCAGGAGGAAAAACTTTGACATTCTCTTCTTAATTTATATAATTGTTATAATTTTCTCATCCATCTATCTATTCCTTCAGACTACACTTGAGCAAATTTCTTTGTTAGTTTCAAAAAATCAAAAAAACCCCCACTAATAGCTTTTGTTTTAGACGTTCCAAGTTAAATCTTCCTTGATGAAGCATGATGCAGTGGATATTTCCTACTTGGAAATATCCACTCTTCGGACAGTGAAGACTCTGCTCACATATTCTGCTGTACATATGAAACATTTCAGAAAAGAAAACATACAGTGCTGTCCCTCAGAGGTGTTTGCTTCTGAAGTGTAGATGTCAGATTCTAGGATGACCACAATCCATGTGGCTCAGGTGGTGGTCACCTGCTACGTGAGCAGGGGCTGTGTTAGTCCTCTGTCCCCCAAGGTAGTCTCCAGAGTGAGGTTCTGCAACCTTGCCCCTTCCTTACCCCCCCCCCGATGTTATGGGAAACAGATATAGATGGAAACATACCCTCGCTTTCTCTTTTAAGATGCCAAAACACAATTAATGAAATGTTAAACAGCAGTGTGAAAACATTGCAAAACACTGAGAGTAGTTTTGGAACCTGAAGTTGATTATTATCAGAATGTATCCCATGAACCTTCTCTCCTTTAAGTTAAAAGCCCAGTGAAAACTCTTCCTTATGCTTCCTGCTAAATTTCTTCTTCCTTAGAAGTACATCATGAATGAACAGGAAAAATCATCTCGAAGTACACAGTACTATGTTTTTCACAGTAAGATAAAAACCAAAAAGAAGTAACAGAGACATTAAAAAAGAAACTATTAAAAATGCAACCTAACCAAAGACACTGTTGGCTCTTCATCTATTACTACTGCTTATGAGACCAAGAAGTAGACACGATTTAAAACAACAGTAGTAGCACAACAGCAAGAATAAATCACAGAAGCACAATGTATTTACTGTGCACTACTCTACAGTGCATGGTTAAATAGCAAGCAAACAGAAAAATCCATCCTAACATCCAAAAGTCTTCTCTTCAAAATAATATTTTGTGTATTACATGCATACACATCTGCCAGTATAATTAGCAAAACAGCTAAGTCACTATTTAATTTGTTTAAGTTGCAAGAAAATTAATTTTTTTAAGTATTTATATATATATACACATACCTATCTTACTTATGTAGAAAAGTTTTTTTCTAGATTATGTATTCCATTAGTATATTCCACTGATGGAAAAGATCAACTATGGTGGGGGAAAAAAACCTGGTGCTATTCAGATCTGCTGTTGAAATTAAAAGCCACAAGGCCAAGAAGGATTTGCTGGGTTATGGAGACCTGGGTTTTAATTCCTGTTCCCAGACCTGTTTCTGTGTTAATATTTTTTAATGTAACAATAATTCAGCATCAAAACAAGGAAGAGTTTCAGAAAATGAGGACCAAACGCTGTTCTGTTAGCTGAAAGGAGCCAAACTAATTTAATACTCTTTTGCAGGATAGTCTCTCTGCCCCTGCTCACTCTGGAATATTCTCCGTCTTTGTTCCAGAATACACAAGTCTTTCTCGAACACAAGGGGCCTGTTCCAGATTTCAGCTTTGCTTTATGCTTGTGCTAGTCTGGCTTTTTGTTTCCTCAAGAGGAAGGTTTCTCTCCAAGACTTAATAGAAGTGAACCAAGGAGCCAGCAAAGCCCACCTCAGTGCTGTGCTTCTAATCCATTCTGCTAGTGCAACAGAGCAACTCTCCTGCCAAGTTGCCTGCCTCTTGGTATCAGCACATTATTCTGAAGGCTACTCTCACTAATACATTCCTAAAACATCTTTACTGTCTCCAGTAAACTCAGTGAATACCCATGTGTTCACAACACCTACAAATCATTTTTCTTCCTTCTGCAGGAATCCATTACCCGGACAACTCACCCAGACTGGGTGTCCCTGCTCAGCTGGCTCTGGAACAAGTTTTGTAGTGCCAAAGACCAGTCATAAGGGAAATAAATCTCGGAAATAATGTCAGACAACAAGCTGTAAGTAGTAGGGATGGATTCCAGCATTATTCAACGACTGAAATTTGAAAGTGTGGGGAACGTGAACGTTGCTCTCACCTTCCTCTCGGTAAATCTGCATCATCTTTCTTCCACCGGACTGTGGGTGTGGGATCCCCCTGCACCTGGCACCGGAAATCCACGGCCTCCTCCTCCAGCACCACTTGGTTTATCGGTCGCCTGAGAAACGTGGGCCGCTCTTGAAAGAGACATTAAAATTCCTTGGTGAGTCAGAGGGTTGAAATGAACATTTTTTGACTTTTCAGCATCTTTTTGTTTTACCCATCCACCACACAGAAAGGAGGCTGAGCTCCACAAATTCAGACAAGTGGAACTGATGATGTGCATAAAGAGCCAGGAAGAGGGCTGCCAGGCTGGAGAGGCAGGGGCTGTCACATCTGGCCCTCAAGGAAGAGTGGAGTGCCACCAGAAGGCAGCCTGTGCCAGGACTGACTGCCCACCTGCCCTGCTGGACAGCACACAGGCCTCTGAGCCCGTACCCTTCCCTAGGAATGCTGTGGCTCTGCACTGCTGCACACACAAAACCTGATCTGAGAGCTCCTGCCCGCTCTAGCAATATATGAGCTGCCAATGGAGTCAGCCTGCCTTTGGCAACAATCAATACCTTGATGCTTCAGAGGAAAATTTAAACTCGGTGTTAGGCGTCTCAGGCAACTGCGGAGTGTCGGGCAGAGGACAGAGCTTCCCTTCGCCGACTTCACCATGGAAAACCAAATTAAGGTCTGAAGAACGACTTCTGTTTACCCTTGTTATTTTAGCCTGCACGGCTACAAATATTATTAATCACCCTAATGTTGCACAGGCCTGCTTAAAATCCAGATGCAGAGCCACAGTCTGCTCTCAGTGGTCCTGGTACAGTACCCTGTACACAGACACTGGTACAAACTCCAAATACCGGTAATTTCATTTGAAAGGATGTCACTGGGGTGAGTTTCCAAGTTGCCTTTGGATTGCATAAATTTTGTTCTGTCCTCTCAACCGTACCACACTTTTATTGTCATAAATTATTTATGCTAGTCAAACCATTATAAGACTGGGTTTATACGAAGCAGTATTTCCACTCAAGACAGGGATTTATCATAAAGACATTTAAAACTGGTTACACGCTATGTTTCACATTTCATTCTCAGTAAGTTGAAGGGTATGATGTCACTTAAAAAAATTACTCAAAATTCACACGGATGCAAGCAATAACAGATTCTGAGTCGGGTAGTTTGTCTTGATAACTACAGAGCTGAGTTTATAGGTTGGTTATACATGTTCGTTATATGCAAATAATAATAAAAATAAAAACCATTAAAGAGCGTTAATAAGGTTGCAAAATCAAGCAGGCAGCACCCTCACTGCCAGAACTAAGGCTGCCTGCATGCCTGTTAATCACTTCCTTTCTGTTCATGCCTTATGGGACTGGTTGCAATTATATGATAACGCACCATTTTTCCCCCAAACATCTCCAGATTGTTGGTGTTCATTTAATGAGCAGGTGTTTAATATTTTGCTTTAGTTGTACTGTTTAGTGGGTGGCCTCCTGTCATACTAATCAAACTTCACTTCAAAGGCAGAATTATTAATTTCCTCATGACCTCTATTACACATATCTTAAAGCTTCATGAGCAACTCACTTATTTTCGTAACTCCTCTCCAAGGTGTGATGGAGATCTTAGAAAGCAAGATAAAAAGTATCTGCTAAATTTTTATGCCCAATCTGAGCCACAAAACTGGCAATTTTTAAGGGGCGGGGAGAATTAAACACTAATTTTGTGTGTTCAAAGCTCAGCTTCCATCGAATTCAGTTGCAGACAAAAAAAAATGTTCACCCCTTTTATAAATCAGAATATCAAGTCAGAAAATTAAGGAACACAAAACCACCTGTTAGTAATTATGCAAATGAGTGACAGCATCAGATAGGAATTCCATGATAGTAGCAGGGGGACCTATTGGCAGGGGAAAACGTATTTTGTCAGCAGAAGAACAGACATGCTCAAGAATCTATAGCACTTTTCCAGATGACAGAGATAAGAATATGTCTAACGGGCAGAGATTCTTCTCCCCAAGCCATTGCTTTTGTCCTATTCCTGTTCCTGCCCAGAACCTGCAGGCTTTAGCAACGTTTGGGCAAGTAAATTCAGTTCTAGTCTCTTTCCACACATTGAAATCTTTACTACTCCACATTTCAAGTCTGTGTACAAGCCATATCCAGCTGCTGACTGCTTCCTTAACCAATTTGTCTCATCTTAGCCCAGAAATATCGTATCGGACCTGTACTTAGGACAGAAAGCTTCCTCCATTCCTCTCCTTCAAACCTTCGCCCATTTCTCTCCAATTATTCCTTTTACTCAGAATTGCAAGAACTTCAACATTTTCAGAGAGGAGTGAATTATTTTGGCAATTTAAAAAATAAATAAATTAAAATCAGTTTTCTAATCAGACACGGAATATTTTGGATAAAGCCTTTTTTAGTTTGACAAACTTATTAAAACTGGACAAGGTAAAAAACCCAATTATTTCTTAACGTTAGTGCTAAGCAGTGCACTTGGCCCACCTGTAACTACGTGAATCTAGATGGGAATTTCTTTATGAAACTTTCTGCAGGTTAGCAACAGCATCTTATTCACAACTGCTCTCCTAAGATCATCTCAGACCAAACCCTGCTCTGAGCTCATACATAATACATTCTTCATTTTGGTATTTGTTTTTCACAGATGATCCTAAACTAAGAAATTTAGATCCAGATTGACATTTTAATTGGTGATTTGGAGGCCCTTGGTACACCCACATTGAATTTAAATAACTCTGTGTACCTGCGCAATGGCTTAGTCTGCATACAAAGATTATTTTAGACCATGTTTATAAAAGCTGTATGTAAACAGCTAAGAAATTAGTGTGTGCATATTGATGAAATTGCTACTTGTAAATTCTGTAATTCTTCTGTAAATTCTTCTCCACAGGAGATGAGGAAATAAATCCCTGTCGCATGTTGAGGAGAACCCAGAAAGTAAATGGCCCAAAGGTCATTAGCTAAATCCCTGGATTCCACATCTGGGCAATTTAGGAGCATACACCCACACGTTTGTTTCAGATCAGCTTCTTAAACTGTGTATTTTCAAAAACATTTAAGAAGTTTCCAGAAAATAAATAGCTATGAAAGGACAGATCCCAGTTAGCGAGGACATGCAAACACCATTAACTGCTGGTTCCATTTTTCCATCATCTCTGCATTTTGCACAGCGTGAATCAGGAAAGAACAAGTTACCTCTCATGTTGTTTCCTGTATTTATATCACTCAGAAAACCCCTTGAATGTGTCCAATAGCTAATTATACAGCTATAAAGTGATCAGAGCGAATGCCATTGCCAATGCAATTAACATTCTTTATATGAGATTAACTGGATTTGAGTCACCTGCATAACTTGCTTACAATGTTAATCTCTCAGGAGACAGAGCGCTGCCTGCCCAAGCATGCTAAATAAAGAAGGTTTCTTCACACAGCCAGGTCAAATTTAGTTTAAGAGATAATCTTGACAAAAAAATCTTTTTTTACTTTTTTTTTTTTCCTTCTGAAATGGTTTGCCCATAAATAAAGCCTTGTGGTATAATTAAACATTGTTATTCCGTCAACAGCATCCAGAACGCAATATATTTGAGAAACAACAAGAAAGGGTGATAAATTAAAATCACAGACATATATAAAAATTTTAATATAGCTATTTTATAAGCTTTCACCGAGTAAATAAAGTACCTACTTCCCAGACTTTCTCTGATGAATATTAAAAATCTTTGAAGAGAACTATAAAATAGGTCATGGTTATATGTCATGTCAACCAGTCATGCTATTACTAGGGTGACCTTTATAACTTCAGAATAAACTTTGCTTGCAGTTATAAAAGGGGGTTGTTAATGCAATCTGGACACACATCTAACAATCTGTTGCAGAGCTTGAGATATGCACTGCAAGGAAACCTACAGATCCTAACCAGAAACAGGAAAATGCTTTCCTTGCTTTGGGTGCTGACACAAGTTAACCACAGAACTCAATTTTTCCCATATTTAACAATTGGTCTGAGTATCACAGTCTATTAGAGAGGCTCAGATGACCTTCAGATATATTATTGCCCTTTCTCTGTTCCTCAAAAAGTTAGACAGCCATACATGGGGCCTCAATCTAATTAAAATGATCCTAACTACCTTAATATATTTTCTCTGCTGAGGCAACTGCTAGAGTGAAGGATTTGATGGTCCCCATAATGCAGAGCTTCAATTTGATTTGGAATTGTTTTCTCTGTCTTTGCTGGAGAGAAGACATAATTTTTTAAAATGTTTTTGTGTTCTAGAAAGAGTATTAAAGTAAAAATTAAAAGGCTTTGTGGAGGGATTTAATAGCAAATGTTAAAAATAAAAGCTTTTTTCCCTTTAGCATTCTGATGCAAAAAGGAAAAAAAAAAAGGAAACATTAGATGCTTGGAAGTAAATCTCACTTCAGAATGCTGTCAATAGCATAGATATTTTATTAAATACAATGTAGTCTGGATGAAGTAAAGCTCTCTGCCAATAAAGAAGACATGGAATAAGACAGGATATTACGATCTGACTAAATTTACCTATGTTGGCCAAATAAATGAAAATACAATTGCAAAAGCAGATGGCTGTATATTTAAAGACGTCCTTCTACTGCCTCTTTTTAGGCACTTTTCTATTTTTCATTTAGAAATAAGCACCTTCTGCTCCCTAAGCAGCACTCAAGGTGAGACAAACTTGCCCAGTAAAGGCATGGAGCACCGACAAGAGGCACATGCATATGCAGTAAAATTATTTTTATCCATGACTAGTAGTTTTCTCCTTTTATATGTGTCTACAACCATGTTCATTTCAGTCTTTACTAACCATTCCATGCAGACCTTGGAGACCAAATTAGACCCTTTTTCACAGCAGTATCATTATCCTATTACAGCTCCTCTGTATCTGTGAATAACAAATATTGTAAAGACAAAGTGACTTTTTGCAAATTGCCACAAGTAAACTGCAAGTGGGAAACAGAAGTATTGGAAGAAAACCTGGAAAAGCTTTCATCTGAAGGGTACAGAACACACACTGCTGATTTCCCTGTCTCGATGTGTGAATGTATACCTGGTTTTGGCAGATTTTTCCATGTGACTGGGAAAGCTTCTGGGAATAACTTCCAGGATACAATGGGACAAGACTCTCTGCTAAGGCCTTCCACATAAGCAGAGCTCAAGAAAGTAAAATGGGGCACAATGTGCCCCCAATCCTTCATTAAAGGATTTTTGGATCTCTTTCCTCTAATGCCACGTCATCACAGAATACTCCTCCTGAAACTACGGCTTCTCTTTCAGCCTGACAATATCTACAGAACATCAAACACAAATACTTCTTCAAGCATCAGACAAAAGTACCTCTTCATCCCACAGGACCTTATTAGCTGAAAAAAGGGTCAGGTACCAAAGTTAAAATCAAAGATTAATCCAAAACAATCTTTATTATGTCCAAATTGACATATCTTTTAAAGACGTTTTTGTACTCTTCTTAGTTATGCTTTATAGTCTTTTGAGGCTCTTCTAAATATATCTTTTTCCACTGCTTGATGCCAGTCTCTTGAAGCTGATATACTAAGGCTTTCATTGATTTCACTGAGCTTTAGAATCAATATACAAGATATACCTTTGTACATGCACTTCAAATATATCATTTTAAGTCCAAAGGAAAAAAAAAAAAAGAAGAGTCTGAAACAGCTAAAACAACTTGAAAACTTATCTCAGAACAGGGCAATAGCATGACAAAATGATAAAGGTTATCTTAAAGAGTAATTCCCACTTTATTAAATTTCTGGCTCCATACTATGTATTTACAAACAAAGCTTTCTTACAAATTGGAATTAAACTGGTTCTGTTTTGCATCTTGCTTTAATTCTGTTCAGCCAAAGGCTATGAGACCAAACACAAGCAAAGCAACCTAATTTGTATCACTTACGCTTCTGAAATTGGCCTTTAGAATAATAAAGTCCCACGCTGGCTCTTTTTGTGAGCATTAGGATTGATGTCATTAACTTCCTTTAAAGGACAACTCCGTCACAGCCCGTCTTCTTGCTTTCCCCCAAGATTGCACCTTGGAGCCTCATAAAGGCAAAAACCAGCAATAGTGCTTGAAAGAAAAGACTAACAAAATGTAGTGCATCATCGTGACTGTTCAAAACACAGGAATAATTTTGGGTAGCACTGCTTATATGCTCAGTTTGCTTTATGGTATTTTGCTATGAACGTTTGACAATTTTCTGCTAGTAGAAGAATCCTGACTTGGGAGCAAAAGAAATGCAATCTGCATCAACACTACCAGCATACAGTTAGAAGTGCCTGAATGCTGAAAACAAGGTTTCAAGCAGACAAGCTTGGAAAAAAACCCAATACATCAGTTGTTTTGTGAAAGTTCTATATGTATTATTCACAACTATCTCTCAGCAAGGGTTATTGAATGGGTACCCAGCCAAGTGGATATATTCTGCCCATGGGAAACTTTTATTTTCTCCCCCTACTTCTTTCCAAGGTTCCTATTGTCCATTTTATTTTATTGTTTCTAAACTCAGGAAAGGTGTAATATTTTAGGTTAGGGTTCCCTGCTGTTCCCCTCAGGCCACCAGTTCCCACCACACTGAGTCACTTTTTCCAGAGGCAATGCCTCCAGCTAAATTTTCTGTACAGGGAGCCAGAGAGCTGTCACGAGCCACACGCAGGAGTGAACTTCAGGTATTACAGAAAAACTTGCAAAGCCAAAAGTAACAAGTGGCTGGTTCCCTGAGAGGTTTGAGAACTAGTATGAAACAGTTCCTTTTCCTACATAGTGTAGTTTACTAAGGCCACCTTCACTCTAGGAAAAGGGTTTGGAGGGTTGCTATTCGGGAAAGGAGGAATGAATAATCAGCTAATTAATATGCATTCCTCTCCAGAATAATCACCAGCTCTAGGCTTGCCAGTCATCTAATTAAATTCTCTAAGTCTCTTAGCTAAGATCTTTTTATTTTCGTTGTAAAGTCCATTTTCAAATATGTGCGAAAGAGTTAAAGTTGGACACATCAATTGCATATAAGTATTATGCTATTTTTAGCATATTTTTCCTCAAAATTTGCCCTATTCCCATGTTCCTCAAACCTCTGAGTCATATTAGAAGGACTTAACATCTGATCCCTGGTCTTGCCTGTGCTCACTGAAGCCAATTTGAACATGCACAGCCGACCTGATGTTTCCCAGTCTCTGGATTTATTCTCCTTCTATCCCCGGATAGAAGGGGAATTTTAGATAGAAAGATACTGAGATAGAGTACTTTAAATACAATTTTCTTTTGGTAGTCTAACACAATGATGTAGCATTAAAATATCTAATCTCACTTATTGCTGATTTTGTTCAGTATTCACCAAATAATTTTAGACTGTATTTTTGCAAGTTGATTGTTATGACTATATGCTGTAAAAAATTCAGAATATTGCAATTGGCTATGTATTCTTGTACATACCAAGATAAACCTAATATTTTTCATAGCCTGGTAGGATATGAAATTACATGCACATTTCAGTTTTCATTCCTACAGTTCAATGCTTTTTAACAAATTATTTTCTTAAGGATTTCTTAGGGCTTTGTAGTTTAGGACTGCAATTTGCTTGCTATCCACAGGGAGTATTACCAGCGATTAGCAGTACTTAAACTGATGAAGGAGATATGTCATGTCTTTTTCAACATTTGTGTAAAGGCACAACTTCAACAGATTGGCTGCAAAGGACAACATAATTTGATAGAGATCCTTTCTCTGCTTTTTTTGCAATGTATAATAGTTCATGCTTTCCATGAATCCACAACAAACGAAGTGAAGTGGAAGCCTTTACAGTCTTGTAATGCTGGAAAGCAGGAAATATTCAGTCATGTGTCCAGTAGAATTTGCTCAGATCTTGTCTAATAGAAACTTTTCTTTTGTGAATCCCATAACATGTTCGAGGGTTTTTTAAAGGGGACAAACTAATGTTGAATTGCACATATATGCAAACACAGAGATGGCAATATGACTGGGTTTTCCAGTGCACCATATTAGGCAGAAGGTGAAAAAAAATAGGAGCATCTGCCTCAGAAAGGACCTTAGGATTTCTGTTAAAAGTCTTACTGGAATTACAAACAGTCTTGTTTGGAATTTCAATATTGTATATTAAGGATATCAAAGAGTTGTAGCAGGAGGGAACATTAACACTATTTCTCTTTTGTTGGTATGTATGTGTTTTCTTTAGCAGTGAGCAGTGAGGGTTCTTTCCTTACTGATTTTCCTTTGTTTGCTAAGAACCTCTTGACTAATTCCTACAAAACCATGCCTGCAGGATGTATCACAGCAGGATTTTGTGGCTTTGCTTCTTGTCCAGTTGTTAGCAGGATGGATCCAGTTCTAGGTTCAGTTATTACTCTATTTTTGCTCTGGACCCTAATCATGGAGGGAATGTTACCTGACAACTTCTTGCCTTACCTATCAGGTCTAGAAGCTCTTTCGCACAGGAAACCTACTAATTTTTGATTCATTCAGCAGCACCTGGCTTACAGGATGAAAAGCTGTTTCATGCCCTCTAAAAAACAAATGAAAAAAGTATCTCTCTATATACAGAAAAATGATCTCCTAATTTTCTCCAAAGACGTTTTACTGATCAACCAAGCTCTTTCGTGCTTTCCTACAGAGGTTTGATTTCACAACCCCACAGGAATATGGAATTGTTTAAATAGGCAATGTTAGTCCAAATCTCTGGTAAGCAGGCATTGTCAACCGTATTAGAAGTAGCTTAATTACTTTTGGCAATTTTGTGGGGGAGAGCACTGCGCTTAGAAAGAAAGCCTTGAGCCATCACAGCTCCACCATTATAAACCATAGGTTTTGAAACCTATCTTCTTCAGGAACTGTGAAATGCACCCTAAGCAGTACTGCTGTGTTTTGTTAACCTTGTTTTGGCTCATATTTTGACGAGCCACCCAGGGCAGTCCAGCCTATGGCATTTGTGGGGAAGAGGAAATAAAGGCAAGAGTCACCTTACCGAAGACAGTGAGCTCTGCGGGGTCGCTGTCCCGCTCCCCCACCATGTTGGTCCCCACACAGGTGTACATGCCCGCGTCGCTCTTCCTGGTGTTGGAGATCATCAGCTTCCCGCCACGGATCTGTCTCAAAACAAGGAACATGTTTTTAACTTCAGATAAACAAAGTATATCAGGGAAAAAAAAAAAAAAAAAGCTGCCTTCTCGGGCAACAAGTTCCACAATCAAGGTGTTTTAAAGTTTTGCTTGTAAATATATGTATGGTTTTAAAATTATAAACTTATATATTTGAATATATTTAAGCTATTCCAGAGAATATTTTTATCATACTGACTAATTTCAGCTTGCAACTAATTTCAACTACTGAATAATTCCAACTGCACTTAATTTTTTTCCTTTGGTGTTCATTAGATTCTTTACATTTCAAAGTTTACATTTCTTGCTGCCTCTTGGCAGCACAAAGACCTTGTATTTCTTGCATGATGATACTTAAAGCACTCTTGACATCTCTCAGAAGAGAAAGGTAGTTGGATTTAGTTTTATTTAGTTCATTTTACTGGTTTCTTAACAGTTTCCTTGATCACTGATTAAGACAGAGTTTCTCTCTTTGCTGTGGCAAACAGACTGAATCTGGCCCAAACTGAAAATTCACCTGAGTCTCGTAAGACTTAACATTTTTTTGGCTACAAAGGCTGCTTGTAGAGGGAAAGAGCAGGATAGTTGAAAGAAATAAAGTAAAAATTTGCAGCTTGTGAAGTCACAGACAGTGTCAAAGGTTAGACAATGGGGTGCTTTCAGAATAATCTAGGAATACAGCCATAGAAACTTGAGAGTCAGGGAATGATAGCCAGCTCCCTGCAACTCTTCCCTCTCTACTCTTGCATGGACCCTAGCAAAGAGAGCCTGGTCCACAAATAGCAACAACTTAGGTTGCTTGGCTTGAAATCATTCCTTAGGCACCCAAAGCCACAAACAATCTTCCTGATAGTACGTCCATGTTGAATAAGGTCAGCACTGAATCATTACATACAACATAAAACTTTATTGAAGGAATATCATTGGTGAAAAGCTAAGCATTTAAAAATTAGGAATGAGATGTCCTCACACCCTTAATTTATCCCAGTTGCTTGCACAGACAATGATTTAGCTCTACTCCCTTGATAAGTTAGGTATTTCTGCTGGATCCTTTTTCACTCAGTACGAGAAATGAACAGTCACAGAATTCAGTCAGTGTTACTCAATTAGTCAATACGGATTCATATTCAGGAGTCATAATTCTTTACAGTGTGACTTCAGCCTTCATTTAGAATGCACATCGAAATTACTACACTAAATACAACTTTACCAATATCATCCTAAGCTGTTGGGTTTTTTTCCCATGGAGTATTTTTCTACCTCAGAGATATGACTGAATTTACCTATAAAACACCTCTCTGATATAAAGTCTGATTTTGACAGTTCAGTGAACTGAGATGTAGAAAAGATAAGGCCAAATGGTTCAAAGACATCCACCAAGTCCCCCATCTAACCGAGCACCTTACATGACCAAATCTACAGCTGAATGGATCTCCATTGCACTGGACATACAAACCAACCCTCAGAGAAGTGCAGGGTGGAGAGCCAAACCAGAAGCAATGAACAACCTTCTGTCCTCATTTGGGAAAGCTTGGAGAGGCAACCTGCCAAAAGTCTCTGTGGGAAAAGCTATAAAATCGTAAAGTTCTGCTGCTCTCGGCCGTGGGTCCTGTGCCTGTAGACAACCAACCAGTGAGTTGTACTCACACTGATCCGCTCCTCCCTGTCATCAATGCGGACTTTATCCTTCTTCCAGTAGATGGTGGGCTCAGGGTGTCCTCGAGGCGGCTGGCACTCCAGGATGGCAGGCTCTCCAGCTGCCACCACGACATCTGTAGGGTTCTGGCGGAAGTCATCCCGTAGCACTAATGCAATAAATGAGGGAAAGAAGGAAAAAAATTATTAGATGTGATGACATTGTAAGTGGGGAAAAAAAATACATGTAGAAACATATAATATTAAACAAACAAGTCAACCTTTATTCTGTGACGAGTTAGCATCTTACATTGACTATAAAAGATCTCATAAAAGAAGCTGGTGGGTGGGTCCTTTTGTCCAACAGAGGCAGATTTCACACACATGGCTTTTTTTCCCCTTGCTTTTTTCTCCAGATAAGAACACTGCTCTGCATTTAAATTGGGAAGACCTGTAGCACCCCTTACTCTTTTTAACCTTGACAGGGTCACTTTCCATCGTTGCAAAAGTAGCATTGCAGGTAGGACGTTCAATTCTTTTCACAACAGAAAACAACGTGCTGAATATCTGCCTTGCCTGGATCTCCAGCTTCAGCACAAGCTAGGTAAAAAAGGGACAGAACCGACACTGAACTACAGAGTTACACCTTGATTAAGGCTGTTGTTGTTATCCCTGTTATTACTGTTATCACCAAATACATGCCAAAGTGATCACCAGTTCTGAAAGGTGTCAGAGAAATCAAGCTGTTACTATTGTTCTTCCAGCACATTTATTTCTTCCTTCTATATATTTAGTTCTAATATTTCTGCAACTTCGACCAGTGCTGTCCCATGACATAGAAAACAAAGGGCATTTAAATCACTGAGCTGTTTGAGAACTAAATTAGGCATCACAGGCCAACTTGTTATGTAAATCAAGCTTCTATAAGGAATCAGGTCCAACTAGCTGGCTTCAGTGTGTTAAAATGATATCCACTTCATCGTTATTCTTCCATGTGTGTCCTAGTCTCTAGGTTAATTGACATTCTTATAAACATAAAACTGAAAATAGCTCTAGATGAGCAACTGAAATAGAATTTAGGGCATTGCCCCTCCTTGAATTTCAGCTACGTATGGCTTTCATTAGAGCTTTAAAACAGTTCTCGCCCTTAATGGAACCAGGGCCCTCTGAGAAATTAGAAAACACTGTATCCTAGTGAAGGGGCAAGTCAGGAAGAGTTCAGCAGAAATCGCTCAGTCTCATTTCATAAGCAGAGATAATTTACTGCTTTCAATGTTAATAAAATGTGCCCCATTTTAACATTGGGAACAGAATATTTTTCTGTTCTGTAATAAGCCAGAGGAAAAATATGATTAATACATACAAGAATTGGTTTCTGAATAGGCTGAGGGGAGTGGGCTGTATATACGTGGTACTCAGAATGACATACAAGGTAACTTTTATAGTTCCTCATTTTGGGATACACAGGTAGATCCCAGAGGAAGGAGGGAATTAATTGGAAGTTAATTCCTTTTCTAAGACACACACACAAAAAAAGAGTGACTATCTAGGTTTCCCTCTCAAAGTATAAAACAGAAGTGAGAGGACAGAGTTGGCAACAAATGCAGCTCTGGCAAAGACCCGAAGGCTTCTTAGGTGACATACCCCATGGATACATATTTTTTCCATCAGAAAACAAAAAACTTCAAAACCCAAAATATTTCTGATTAATACAAATCACTTGTACGCTTCTGATTTGCAATAATCAAACTGACAGAAATGGAATTTATAGAACTTCAAGATCAAATGGAAGAAATAACTTATGCAATGCACTGCACAGAAACATGATGAGGATCATGGCCTGCTGACTATTTGGCAGTACAACATTTTGCAAAGCCAAGAAAGCCAATACCATGGCAATTTCAGGGAAAGAACCAAAGAAAAAGTCTTACAATATCATGGTTTTTTTAGGAAGCGTCTTCCTGTATCTCCATGGTCCCTATGATATATAAGAAGAAAAAATACTTCTAGACAATGCTATGCCCACTTTCATATAACTGGCAAATGGATAAAAATCAGCTCCCTCCATTACACACAAAATAATTGTTTTTATTGGCTTGATTCTATTCGCAATTACAGAACTTCAGTGCAAATCTGCTAGTGGAAAATCCCCAGAAAATCAGCAGATCCCACCACATAATGGCTTTATATTCCTGACTCCTAACTCCTGGCAGCAATATTAAGGACAGCATTTTCCTTGAACATTTCACTCTGCTATATGAACCTGACAAATACAGTTTCCTAGAGTGATACACAGCAAATTACATTAACTTTCTCTGAATCATCCCAGCAACTGTGTAAGGTTCCAATCAGCCTCAGAATATGAGGCTAAGAGGTGATTTGATTTTATCACATTCCTTTAGCCAAAGTCTTACTGCAAAACTGGCTTGAACGGAAGACAAAATTGATGCTACAGGCCTTGCTTAATCTTGCTCTGTACCTCAGCACATATGCGAGTGTTGAATAGATATATCTCATCATTTCCATCCAAAGCATTCTGTGTTTTGGAGAAAAACAAAAAATGGTTGGAGGAAAAAGAAATAGGGGAAAAAAAATAAAGCTGTGACAGAAAGATAAAGATAAGAGAAAAATGTGTGGAATATAAATTAAAGAAAGAAAGCAGCTCGAAGAGGAAGAGGGGGAACACTAAGTGTAGGGAGCGCGAGAAGAAAAAGCCAGGTAAAGAAAGGAAAAAAAAAGAATAAAAGCAGAGAGAAAAACAAGGTAAAGAGCAGAGGGCACAGGCTGCCATTCCTGTGATTCAGTGCTTTTAAAGCAATCTAACAATGGAAAAGCACAGACATTAATCTGATCAGCCCAGCCAATCCAGAACATCCAAACATGACCCCGAGAGAGGGGGAGCAGGGAAGAGGGGGCCAGAGTGCGAGCTGGTGAGCTTGGCTGTCCCCCTCCAGCGGCACAGGAAGCCACAGAAGAAAGGAGCGTCGACTGGAAGTTGAGTTCACACATATTAGCAGAGTAAATGGAAAAGTTGCAGCACAGCTTAGTGCATTCACCATATCTAATGGTACAATCATCTGTGAAAACAGAAAAATGATTGAGAGCTGCAGAATATTCCTCAGCCAATTATCCACAATTGCTGGGTACTTCCAGATAACTATTACTGTGCCTGAGCAGATCACCCTTTCCACACATGGGCAAGAGGCTTTTGTTCACTTGAGGAGCCAGCCCTCTTCAGGGTCCTTTTGGCAGGGCACAAACACTAATGTTTTAGAAATTCAACACAGGTGGAAAAAAAGTTCCACCAGCCTCCTCTTCCTCATCCTGTGTTCTTATTTTGCTTTATTCCAATTTTAACATAAGTTACACATCTCCCTTTGTGCCTGCGTGGGTGTTTCCCTACATTTTGGGTTTTTCCCTACATTTTGGGTGTTTCCCTGCATTCTTTACTGTGAAGGTGTTGAGGCACTGGAACAGTTCCACAGAGAGGTTGTGGATGCCCAATCCCTGGAGGTGTTTAAGGTCAGGCTGGATGCAGGTCTGAGTAACTACTGGAAGGTGTCCCCGTTCACAGCAGGGGCATTGAGACAAGATGATCTTTCAGGTCACTTCCAACCCAAACCTTTCTGTTATTCTATGATTTACCAAGGGGTGACAAAGAGAAAGATGTCTGGCACCCCTCCCTACCAACTCTGGCACTGCAGCACAGCCGGTTCGGTTCCCTTTGAAGGGCAGGATCCCAGGGGGTTGCAACAACAACAGAGAGGGGAGATGCTCCTCTCCTCCAGCCCAGCTTCAGCTCAAATGTTTAAAAAGGCAAAGCCTTGGAAGGGCAAAAGCTTCTGGATGGCTAAGCCTTGCTGTCTGGAAAGGCACCAAGGGACTGGAGCGCTGGAAAGGACAGTTAACGCGTACACACAGCCCACAGTGGTGCTGCGGACAAGAGTTTAATTAAAGTTTGATCGGTCTCTTTGTAGCTTGAAAAGCTGATGCTGCTCAAACAAGATAGATGTCTGTGAGCAGTCACGTTGGTCTTTAAGGCATGCAAAGCCCTGCACGGTCATTTCCAGGTAGCCAGGAGCGTAACCAGGGAAAGGGAGAACATCCAGCAGCAGCAGTGACGAGATAAACACGCGCAGGGCATGCACCTGCCGGGGAGGGAGGGGGAAAGGAGTGAAAAGGAGCCCCTGCTACCAAGGCAACTGCTCACCAGCACCTGCCAGCTTAGGCCCAAATCCAGGCCTCGGTCAAACTGATGCTCATAAACTCAGGGAATTACACAGAAACCGAATTAATTTCCTCGGCCGAGGCTCCAGCAATTTGTTTAAAGAAGTGGAGATAAAGCCACGATGTTTATGAGGTAGGAGGGTAGGTGGCCGGGTCAAAATTATTCTAGGCTAGATATCCATGCCTTAATCCTGCTTTCCAGTTTCCAGGCCCTTAGAAAGAAAACATTTTTATAGGATTTACATTTACATGATGATTACAAATAACCATCTGTCTGCTTCCACTTTTTCAATCTGGTCCATGTCCCACGAGCCCCCAGCCTGTGGTCAGAGCAGCTAAGCTGGAAGGAAGAAGTGGATGCCCGTCAGGAGGCTTTGGGATAATTGCATTCTTCTCCCACCAGCGCTCATCTCTCCACCTCCTCCCCCTCGGCGTGCACGGTGAACATCTGAGATTACCGGGAACAGGAGGGAGGGAAAGAGTATCTTTTTTGCCTTTTTCAATGAATGATAATGTCTTAAAACACAGCTACATCTGTTGTGCTGACTAGAGGGTATAAAGAGATATTGAGTAAATGTTAATAGGCTGCTGTAACTTGGGTCCTGGTAGTTTGTATTCCCCTTTCTATTCCATTTTGTGCTTATCTCAGGATAATATTATTCTTATACAAAGACTTTGTGCAGACACACCAGTGACAGTCTGTCACCCGCCACACACAGGTAGGTCTCCCCTGATCCAAGGCACTCCCCCACAGGCATTTTCCTAAATCCTCATCTCTCCACCACTGTCTTGGCACTTCCCACCTCTGATACATACTGATAGGAAAAACTGACATGAATTATTATGTCAAGTAAGTGCCCAGATGTCATGCAGTGGACAGATTAAAGGATTATTATACTTTAGGTAGCATATGGTGCTAAGGGGTATTTTGGAACTTGACTAA